AAAAAAAAAAAAAAAAAAAAAGAGTAGTTGCAAAGATATTACTAGAAGATGGCAAAAGGCTTAGGATAAGAGGATAAGGTGGCAAAAACTTTTAAATGGATGACAAAACTGCCTATATGCTCAGTTATAACTGCGTACAAGTCTGTGCACAGACGGGCTCTAGAACAGAATGTGGAAAAACAGCCTCAAGGCATCAAGTACTTCAGTTACTTGAAATCTGGGGGATTTTTTCCATGTAAATATTTTTCTGTATTGTGACATACATACACATATATATTTTTAAATCTTTGCTCTACCTGTGGAGGAGGAAGAAGAGGAGGAGGATGAAGAGGACGAGGAGGATGAAGAGGAGGAAGGGGAAGATTTGTCTCTGTCGTATTGTTTTTGGCTTAAGACTCCGGCCTTCTCATCTTGCTTATGGAAATCTGTCTCTCCATCTGCAAGACACACATAGACAAGGGGGTGAATGTTTTCTACCCTTTCCACCCCAGGGTTCTATTTGGCTTTGGGGAGACAGGAGGGACTAGATTATCTTCTTTGAGACCAAGGCTCTCAGAGTCCCCAGGGAATCAGGAAGCCTCAAGGCACAAATTCCTCTGAATATGGACCTCACAAAAGGGGATTTTAAGCACCCTCCCCTGCCCAGAAACTAGTAGACCCTGTGGAGTAATTACCAATTTCAGGTTCTCTGTAATTGGCAGAGAAGATGGAATCTAATCGAGCCTCAACTTTCCCATCCCTCATTCTGAGGACACACAGAAATTTCCCATCTTCTGGAGACTCTTCCCTAATGCCAGCCCAACTTTCCAGAGACTTCTTGAGGTTTAGAGAGCAACTGAGGGTCCCCAGAACTAGGAAGGGTGGGGAAAACAAACTGGACCAAGCATCTAAGTGTAAGTGCATGTGTGTAAAATCACTACTTCCCTCTTTCAACTTGATTTGAGCCATTGTGCAACATTAGCTGAGCAGGGTCTTCTGTCCCATCCACTGTTGGACTCCACCTCCCATATGACTTTGCCCAGAAGGTCAGAGAAGGCAAACATACCATCTAGGTCTTCTGTTTTTTTGTGGACTCGACTGATGTCTTCAGATTGGGAGAAGGATCCTGAAGTCTCCATGGCTTTCCCTGGAAGAATAACAGTAATAAATAATTAATATCACTTGCGTTAACATCCTTAATATATAAAGAGTTTGGGCAGATAAACAAAAAAGACAAACATTCAATATTTGAAGAAATAAGAAAAACAGTTTATAAAAAAGAAATACATGGTTAGGGAAATTTTAATAATAACCATCTTTTGATATTTTTAGGTGACAAAAGTTTTGAAACAGACTGTTGTGGTCCATTATTTCACTTCCAAGAAACACAGTAAACTGTATCCTTTCTGATTCACCTGTGCAAGTTCCATCTTGCTCCGTTTATTTGTGTTGCTGGGAGGGCTTCATTTGTTTTTCTATTCATGCAGATTTTGTGTTTCTTTATTATTATTTTTTTTCAGAAAGAGTCTCACTCTGTCACCCTGAGTAGAGTGCCATGGCATCATAGCTCACAGCAAACTCAAACTCTTGGGCTTGAGCAATCCTCTTGTCTCAGCCTCCTGAGTAGCTGGAACTACAGGCATTTGCCACTACACCTGGCTATTTTTTTTTTTTTTTTTTTTGGTAGAGATGGGGTCATACTGCTGCTCAGGCTGGTCTGGACCTCCTGAGCTCAGGCAATCCACCTGCTTCAGCCTCCCAAAGTGCTAGGATAACAGGCGTGAGCCACCACACCTGACTGATTTTATGTTTCTTGATTTTTGTACATCTCAAAACAATAAGCATATGTATATTGGTGTTATATTTATTGAAAAATATCATTAAATTTAGAGATGGATACTAAAATCTTTTTTTTTAATTACAGTTTTTTTGGCTGGGCCGGGTTTGAACCCGCCACCTATGGTATACGGGGCCAGCGCCTTATTCCTTTGAGCCACAGGCACTGCCCGATACTAAAATATTTATGATAAAATTATGTGGTTTGGGATTTGCCTCAAAATAATTTTGTTAAAGAGTTGGGGAAAAGAAGAGTGAGTTAAAAAAAAAAACATGACTATGAGTTAATAATTGTTGGAGCTAGGTCAAAATATAAAGAGTGGATATCTCTGAGTGGTATTATAGTGTAAAGGAAAATAAAAATCTCACAACCACTCTGCAGTTCCTTATGCAAAAGAGAAAGTCAAGCCTGGAGACTGAGTCATGCAACCCCCTCTTCCAAATGAATAATTATTCCTAACATTGTGCATTAGCCAGATCCCCAGTGGAAAGGTAGAAAGCTTCAGGCATCCACAAAGACTGCTCCCACCGATCATCCATAAGGACATTTTTTGCTGGCCCCCAAAACACAAGGACATGCAAATTATAACTTCAGGCCTACGGTCAAAGTCTAGCTCCTGAAACTAAAGTCTGTTCAATTCCACACTAATAAGGTTAATTACTAGTTTCTCTTCCCAGGTGCAGAACAGAGACAAGATAAGATCGATCATTCTTCCACCTACACAGAAATATCTGCTTCTTTCTTTACTCCCTTTTCCTCTCATACATTGACATGATCTTATATAAAATGTAGATTTCCTGGGCCTCACAAGAATGTAAGGATTTGTATCACTGCCCACCCCACCCCCTTCTTCATTCTGTTTGCCCTCTCTCCTTAAATGCTGAAGTCCCCAAGTCACTCTTTGGAGAATACAGGCCATAGATGCTCTGTGGTTTGTGCTTTTCCTGGGCACGTCCTCAAACTTGGCTTACTAAACCGTTGATTGAGGCTCAGCGCCTATAGCTCAACCAGCTAAGGCGCCAGCCACGTACACCTAAGGTGGCGGGTTCGAATCCCCAGCCTGGACCTGCCAAACAACAATGACGGCTGCAACCAAAAAAAAATAGCCGGGCGTTGTGGCGAGCACCTGTGGTCCCAGCTACTTGGGAGGTGGAGGCAGGAGACTCGCTTGAGCCCAGGAGTTGGAGGTTGCTGTGAGCTGTAATGCCACAACACTCTACCCAGGGGGACAGCTTGAGGCTCTGTCTCAAAACAAACAAACAAACAAACAAAAAACCCCATTGATTGAGATCTTCACCTTACTCACTTATTTTGGGTTGTTAGTGGGTATTTTTATTTTCTTTTTACTTTACATTTCTTAAGTTCATTACAGTATTGATTTTGTAATAATAAAATAACACAAGTTGCAGCTGAATACAGTGGCTCATGCCTGTAATCTTAGCAATTTAGGAGGCTGAGGCAGGTGGACTGCTTGAGTGCAAGAGTTGGAGACCAACCTGAGTAAGAGGGAGACTCCCTCTCTGCTACAACAGAAAATAGCCGGGCATAGTGGCACACATCTGTGGTCCCAGGTACTTGGGAGGCTGATGCAAGAGGATTGCTCAAACTCAAGACTTTGAAGTTGCTGTGAGCTATGATGTCACAGACTTTACCAAGTGTGACAAAGTGAGACTCTGTCTCAAAATAAATAAAATTAAATTTTAAAAAAAAGTAAGATGCAACTTAGCATCAGTATGTGTAATGCTTAACAGTTTTATAAAGGGCTCATGTGTCTATTATTCCATCTGAGCCTGATCACACACCAGTCATGTAGGAATTGGGATTAATTAACTCCTCACATTTGAATTTCAGTTTCTAGACAACAAAACATTTTCCCAAAAGATCATCTCATTTGACCCTTACAATAATCTTGCAAGGTGAATTTTATTGTCTCTGTTCTATAGAGAAGGAAATCAGAGTTCAAAGAGGTGAAATAATTTGCAGAGTTGGGATTCCAAAGACCATATTCTAGTTCATGCACCCTGTTTATTGGGTTTAACTTAAAGCTGAATCACATGTTGTAAAGTTTGGCTGAAGATGACTCAGTACATAGCAAACTGTAACCTAACTAAATATGGAAGAAGACTATAATCTATATAGTTATATTACTATAACCTAATCTTGTAACAAGTAGCAGAGTCTCAGCCAATCACAGCTATTGAATTTCAGCCAATCACAGGTAGTCGACTGTTCAAACTGTGTTCAAATAAAGCACATGCCGAGCTGTAGCCAGTCTGTTTTTGTAGCTCACTTGCATTTTCTGTACATCATTTTCCTTTTTCTGTCCATAAATTTTTTATTGCTTAACTGATTTTTTTTTTGAGACAGAGCCTCAAGCTATCCCCCTGGGTAGAGTGCTATGGCATCAAAGCTCACAGCAACCTCCAACTCCTGGGCTCAAGCTAATCTCCTGCCTCAGCCTCCGAAGTAGCTGGGACCCCAGGCGCCCGCCACAAAGCCTGGCTATTTTTGGTTGTAGCCATCATTGTTGTTTGGCGGGCCCAGGCTGGATTCGAACCTGCCACCCTAAGTGTATGTGGCTGGTGCCTTAGCCACTTGAGCCACAGGCGCTGAGCCTGCTTAACTGATTTTAATAACATGACATAAAGCCCTTAGACTTGACATAATCATTATGCAAAATACGCAGATGAATGTTATCTTCTTTTAAAAATATAAAATAAGGGGGATATGGGAGGAGGGAGGGTATTTGGGGAGACTCACCTAATGTGCGTGATGCAATGGTACATTTCAGAACTATTAAGAAATGAGTATAATGGTGATGGATGTGTTACTTAGTTAAATGTAAGCATTTCACATTGTATATCAAAGCAGTACACTGAACCCCAAAAATGCATCAATGTACAAAGTTACGATTTAATAAAAAAATAAAAATATATAAAATAAATAAGCAAGAGCAGTGCCTGTGGCTCAAAAGGGTAGGGCGCCGGCCCCATATGCCAGAGGTGGTGGGTTCAAACTCAGCCCCGGCCAAAAAACTGCAATCAATCAATAAATAACCAAGACGTGAAAATAGGCAAGTTTCCATTAAATAAATAAGTTTTAAAAAGGAAGTTTTCCTTTCCATGTCATTTGAAGAAGGGAAACTATCATTTTAAACAATATTCAAGTTTATTTTATTTATTTTATTTTCATATTTTTTAGAGACAAAGTCTTACTTTGTCCCCCTCAGTAGAGTGTTGCGGCATCGCAACTCACAGCAACCTCCAACTCCTGGGCTTAGGCAATTCTCCTGCCTCAGCCTCTCAAGTAGCTGGGACTACAGGTACCTGCGACAACACCTGGCTATTTTTTTGTTGCAGTTTGGCCGGAGCAAGTTCAAACCCGCCACCCTCAGTATATGGGGCCACCGCCCTACTCACTGAGCCACAGGTGCCACCCAATATTCAAGTTTATCAAACAAATTAGCAAATTAGAAAAAAAAGTTCATAAAATGTTTAACTTCCATCAGCTTCAAGGTTTATATTGCTCCCAAATTTTGCATATAACTGAACTTTCAAACTGCTAACACCCGCTGAATTAATTCCACCCTGGATTCTGAGGCATCAATTTCTTCTTGCAAATTTTTCTTTGCTTCTTCTAACATTTCCTGGGTTTCTTCCTGAGACTGGCTAATGAAAACATCACCAATTTGATAAGGTATCATTAAACAGTCCTCATCTGCAAGCCTGATGTCGTCTCGAGCATCTTCTAAATTTTGGAGCCGTTTCTTTTTTACTTCTATTTCTTCCTTCAGCTGTGTGATTCTACTGGTATTCGGCGCAAATCTGTTTATCTTTTGTCGATCTTTGAAAGTAACATTGACACCTTCTGCAGCCGCTGTCTTCATTGTGGCCGTCATCTTGGGACTGGACTGAGGTCCGAGGCCTCTGTCCGTAAATGTTCTGGGCCACGTGGCAGCCCAGAGGCACTCTGAGGCTGGCTGCCCAATTTGAGAATCTTTCTTTGTTCAATTAAACTCTATTAAGTGTAATTGTTTAAAGTGTTTAACCACCCAGCAGTTTTGGTCTGGGGCACAAAACTGCTCACAGGCCACTGTGGAATCAGGTTGGAAACTCCTGGCTGGATAATGGATATCAGCACTGAAGTTGAGGGCAGGAAGCGGGACCCTGAAAGTGCAGAAGCAAAATCCCTATGGTAGGGATACCATACCCTGTGCTTTCTCAAGTTCCTGAGAGCGAGCTACAGGTAACTGCAGAGGCAGGCCTTCAGGTGAGCCCACAACAAGGCCATAACTGTGGCCCC